GTAAACTCATGAGAGAGGGGGGGGGGGGGGGGTCGCAGCTACGATACAAAACATCCAACACCCCCCGGGGGGGTAACAGATCTTAAGGTGGGTCATCACGTTATGTGCCCTGGTTTTTAGAGATACTGGCCAGCACCACTAAAAACTAGGGCAAATTACTTGAACCCACCTTAAGATATGTTACCCCGCCGGGGGGGGGGGGGGATGTTTGCATCGTAGCTGCGATTTTTATCTCCCTCTTACGAATTTACATTTAATCATATATATTACAGAAAACTTATTCACCTGTAATTTAATATGGTTTACAGATTAACAGTGGAAAAGTTTCTTTCAAACAAATTTAAAATGGCCACGGGAGTTGAGGTTATCCATATGATGACTGAAGATGGTCCCGCTCCCGTGGGGCTTAAAGATCAAAGTTTTAGTTTGCTTAAAAAGAAAGATTTCCATTGTAAAAACTGTCCCACGACTGGTGCTAGCAGACGGGGGTGGAGGGTGTTTGAAGTGACGCTCCCCCCAAGTTAATACCGTAAAACAACTCAATTTTAGATTTACCCTCCCAAAGTTAACGCTCTGGATTTTAGATCCACCCCCGTTCAATTTACCGATATTTTTTATCACCTAACGTGATTCTTATCTCAGTAATTTCCTAAAAGCATATGTGAAATGCTTAAAAAAATCGTTAATACTGAATTCCTCTACCTACTGCTAGTGTTACCTGTGTATTTGGCCATATGTGGTCTTCAGCTGTAATGATGAAACGTGTATATGCAACTCGAAAGTCAAAACTCTTTCGTAAGCTGTGTGTTTCGGGGATCAAACGTCGAAAGTACTACTGCTCGATTGGTTTGTGTTGAATTTCGCGTAAAAGCTACACGAGGGCTATCTGCGCTAGCCGTCCCTAATTTAGGAGTGAAAAACTACAGGGAAGACAGCTAGACATCATTACCCACCAACTCTTGGGCTACTTCGAATAGTACGATTTGACTGCCACTTGTTTTTTTGGGGGGAAGGTTGGAATTTCGTGCAAGGTTACACAAAGACTGTCTGCGCTAGCCGTCCCTAATTTAGCAATGAAAGACTAGAGAGAAGGAAGCTAGTCATCCCCACCCACCGCCAACTCTTGGGCTACTCTTTTACCAACGAATAGTGGGATTGACCGTCACATTATAACGCTCCCATAGCTGAAAGGGCGAACATGTTTGGTGGGTCGGGGATTCGAACCCGCGACCCTCAGATTGCGAGTCAAGCACCCCCCTAACCACCAGGCCACGACTACTGCTTGGAGACAGAGAAAAGTAGGCGTGTTATCACCCTGACTCTTACTGTTGGGCCCACTTTTCGAAACAACGATCTCAGGTGAAAGGGGGAGGAAGAAGGGGATTAGGACCTCACTCAAGTCACATCTTCGTAATCAACTCATTTGTAATTAGTGGAAAAAAAACGCCGTTTGGTTAGCATGAAATGTAATGACGTGATTACTACTTTGTGGGAAGTAGTAATTGATTCTTAACTTTAACTCGTGTCTTTAAATCCAGAGACAAAAGTATATAAAAAAGAAGTGGAAATGTGCCCTATCTCAAGGGCTTTTTTAACCCCCCCCCCCTTCTCGGGCAAAGATCCCAAAAGAAAATAAACCCATGTATACAATCGGACAGTTTCCAGTTACCATACAAAAATATTACGTTAATCGAGACAACCATCTATGGCTGATCGATGCTAACACACACACACATACAAACTGACATCTTGCGTGATAAAAAATGGCGTCGTTCTGCTTTACCACATACAACAATTTTCACCAAGCCCGCACCCGACCGACTGACGGGTAGTTAATGTGAGATACTATTTACGCCTGGTGTTATTTCAACCATTCTCACCTCACACGTAATAGAACGACTTTCAAGTCGGCTCTTAAACAATCCTGTTCTTCTGTATAAAATGTTTTGTTCGTGAAGACCGAGACTGCGATGTAACTTTGATATATGAAATCATTCAAATATAACGACGACCGGTTGTGTTTTATCAATCGTTTTATTTTTCCTAATGAATAACGATTATTTTTATTGTCTTCGTTATCTGAAGGTACTAACATGTCCATAGGGGGCATATCTTCATCAACACTAGTTAAAATATTGACAAACTGAGTAGTCTTTAAACCCCACCTTTATTTGTATCGATGAGGTTCTTTATTGACTCAGATTTTTTTTGGGGGGGGGCTATGATTTTGTTAGTTACTGGGCCCCTAATTACATGCGAGCCACGCAAACAACGTAAAGAGAAAATATGATCAGTACTACGATTAAATATCAGAAAACACTTAATTTATTTATTACACGCGTTAGGATATAAGCAGAAATAATGCATTCGTACACAAACGTGTCTTTCCTTTGATACGGAATGTTTTTTTTTGTTTGTTTGTTTAAGCAGAAAGTTACACAATAGGCTTTGCTCTGATCACCCGGGGGTATCGAAATCCGACTTTTAGCGTTATAAGCCCCGAGACTTACCACTTGGAAAGAAATGGGCGAAAGTCGTTAAAATAAAATTAAGGGCTAGCTAGCACGCACACTATTGTCTCCACTAAAAAAAAGAAAAGCACATTGACTAGTTTATATAACTATCGGCGTATTTCGGTCCTAGCACTAAACGGGTGTTACCCCGACGTAATGAAACGCATTCCTAGAACGAAGACAGAAGTTAACTGGTAAAACATTGGAAATGTGATTATATATTCAAACATTGCAGTATTACACAGAGAGATCTTATAAGAACTTAAATGTAGAAATTAGTGGTCAAACAAGACGTGATTTAATCTATTCACAAGGTCAACTGTACAGTACTAACGTGCTGATCTAGAGGTCATATTGGATTTTTTCCAGCAAGGGGGTGTTTTATTCATATTCTATCCATGTCCAACAAGTCAATCGCATTATCTTAGAAATGACGTGTCACGTGACTGTGCAAGATCTAAGAACACTTAAACAATATGATTTTGACGAAATGTACAAGTAAATGTCGTACTTTGTCGAATGTCCTTCGGTCGCTACTTGGGAGTCCCTCTTCTCCCACCAACACTGTCCTCACCTGACCAACAGTGACCACTTCCACACAGCAGCAAGGACACGGGTTTATTATCAGATGGACAATAAACACATCTACGTTAGATTCACATTGTTAACTGGCGTAACTTAAACATCCCTCAGCATCAAAGTTACAAACAGAAATTCAATTCGTCCTTTTGTCACAACGATAAGCATTAAAAAGTATTTTGAACCACCACAATAAATTAATTGTGAACGAATAAACTTCATTTGTTCGAGCATTTGTCTGTCTGTCAGTCAGTCGACACTGAAATGACGTCACATAAAGGATGTTTGAAGTTGCAATGTGTGTTTTTCTTAGAACAAGGCCACATTGGACTATCTGCTGTGTCCCCCGAAGGAAATGGAACCCCAGAGCTTAGTGTTCTAAATCCGTAGACTTACTGCTGTCCCAGCGGGGAACTTGCAATTTGTACTGTCACGATGTCAGTAAAACGTGCGTATGACACGAATCACGAGAATTATATATATATAGACAACCAGTAACCAGCATGATAAGAATCAACAGGAATATTTAGTATAGTCCAACATCAAACAGCAGTTCTTATTACCACCAAGCACGACACCTTAACATGTATTATCACCCAACGTACATAATATATCCTGATGGTCGTTAAAAAAAAAAACCTGTCATCATATGAATTGGTACATCTATAGATAAACATCCGTTTGTTTCAAAGATATTTTAAACGTTCTTGCCAAAAATATCCCAAAACAAAACGTGAACTATCTCAAATTAAAACACACACACACAAGTTTGTGTGCGTTTATCTTCGATGTTTATCTTTGAAATATACATAACACATTTTCTGGGTTTAAGTAAAAGAAGTTTGGTGTTTAAGAAACTAAATAAACATTGAACTACAGATTAAAAATAAGAATTGGTGAATTATGAATACCCATCTTCGTTTTTCTCAATTCTGTAACAATGGAGTATACCTTTACAAGAATAACATTGCAAGACTTAATCTTACCTTTCTTGTAGCATCGGCGAATCTACTGGCGTTGGCGAGTCGACAAAAGCTAGAAATATAAAATGTAAAATTTGTTACTTGTCAGAAGTAACTTCGTAATCCTCTGACCTCTTCTGCTAAGTTCTGACCGAACTTGGCAGAGTGCCAGAAGAGTTTGTTCTAGATAATTCGTTTCTGTAGTTCTCCTTTTACAAAGGCAGGAAGTTAAAAAAGATTCACGTTTCTTCGGTCGAAACGATCAACAGGAAGCTACAAAATAAGTTTCGGTTCGCTTGGTGCAAAGTTTTTTTTTTATTATTATTTCCTTTTTCTTTGTTCACAGGTGCACCTTTCTCAAACAAGGTTACAAATATAATTATTTCTAAATGTTTTAAAATCGTAACAAATGTACGTGATGAATCACTTTCTATGTGAGATATTATCCATTATCAAGCACGAAACTAAGCTTTCGATTAATTGTACGGGGGATAAGAGAGGGCGAGTATCTAGCAGTGTCGGAGGTAATTTCCTCGAAAGGGGGTCAAAAGTCGCCTGGAAGGGTTATCTGTTTTAACCACTCGCAGCACCATACAAAAGTGTGTTGTCTGTCAGAAGACACTAAAACGACGTCACATAAGGGATGCTTAACATTGCAATTTGTACCGTCGTGACATCAGTAAAACGTGCGTATGCCATGAATCACGAGAAGAATTATGCACTGTAGACTACAACACAGCATTTCGGTTTCATTTACTCTTTAAACAGAACGGAAGTGCATTTTGTTTATCACCAAAGATGTGGCCATTAAATACCCTTACATGACATTATAACTAACAAGAAACTCTGAAATTCCAAGCTTATAAAGGTAATGTCATAAATGGGGGCGTGGGCCTCCCGCTTCAACGGTTTTGAGTCGTAGAACACGAACTGTTCGTCTGATGCAAAGGTTCGCGTGCTACGCAGCTGCAGTACATTAAGATTCCCAAAACCAATATTTCGAAGGTGCCTAAAGTTCAACTAAAATAACTTATCAATCGGTTGTTCATGGTGAAACAAAAATGGCTGCCGATTGTTTATCCACTTATATTCGACATTTTAGGATCCACCCGTGTTCCTCTAGCAAATTTCATCGCAATTGGTTCAGCCATGTTTTTAGAACTTGTTACCCCAAACAGACAGACGGGGGGTGATTAAGAAAATATCAAAATGAGCCAAGATTTAGTTGCATGAGGTTAAGATAAATACGGATGGCCTCCATAAACAGTACGTAACGATCTTCCAGTGTTCGAACAACTACTTTACACATACAGTATAATTACCAATGTTTTACGTTCAAATTGTGGTCACTGTGCAGAAATGAAATCACACCACAGAAAACTTTGATAATATACATATAAGAAAACCAAAGAAAAAAAAAAAACAACATCACCCAATACACCCTCCTTTTCCTCATATTGCTAAAAAGGGGAATAGCATTCAACATCAAATAGTGTTTTTCATACAATTAGAAAGTCATTAATATTCTACAGTTTTATTTTGGTATCAACTATTGGTGTTCTCCGAAGGTTTGTGAAAGTTATATTTATATCTTCCTTAGGAAACCGAGGCTTCAGAGATGTTTAATACAGTGACAACGGACACAGAACGTAGATGTTACTTCCTGTTTTTCACTCAACCAACACACACACACATCTTTATTTATATATATACAGAACTGAATATAGATTATGTGATAACTTGTTTCAGGTTTAAAATACAGTGGCAACCTCTGACCTTAGCATGCATTTTCAAGGAAAGACTTTCTAGTACCTAGTCATTAACAGCCAGCATTAATGAACATAAGCATAGTTGGAGTTTTGGATTTAGATTCACTTTTACACTTTCAGTCTGTTAGTTATACTTTTCTTACAAATTATTATTTTTTTTTTAGATAAAAGGGGTCACTGCCAATGTACGGCATGGAAATTGTAGGTGACGTAAAAAGCACGTGAAGTTTGTAAGGTAAAACCCCGCGATGGTCTGTTAGCATTTAACAGGAAAAAGAAGATTAGGGGGCCTAAAACAGAGCTGTACAGCTCGATCGGCTTCAGTAAGCACAAAATCTATGCCTTCCTTCCCAGAATTGGATCTTAGTACAGCACGATACTTCATAAGGTAAAAAAAAAACAGCAAGCACATTGTTGAAGGGACAGGTGGCTAGCTAAGGACGTGACGGTTAGGGCGTGAAAAGCGGGAGATTTGAACAAGTGAAGCTGGCTATTGAACACGCGGCACGCTACCCGCGCGCGCCACTCGTCTCCATTATTTGCTCGCGAGAAATTTTCTAACGAGATTATACAAATTCATTTTAAAACAATATTCAAATCTTTTGGTTTCTTGTGATTTCCATATGTTGCCCAAAATACTATTACTTCGTGAATAAAGTAATGACCTTTTTTGTCTCAAAATTGGACGTCCTATGACAACAACAACAGTTTTGTTTGTTTACAATGTGTGTGTGTGTGTGTGTGTGTGTGTGTGTGTGTGTAACTGTTTTTATACGTCTTATTAAAAGAAGCAGCGTTGTTTAATGAATGAAATGCCCCTCCAGTGTTTCCTGTTTCCGAGCCACTTCATTCTCCTGGGTCTGTAAAATTGATGCACTTGTGGCACACCAGAGGTGCTCTGGGAAAGATCACGTTTGGGGGTCAATGATTCGAAGAGAAACTGACGATGCCCCCACCAAGGTCATCAGGTTTTGAACACACACACAAAGAACATTCCAGCAAACGTTTCCCACCCTCTCATTGGATAGTGCTCTGGTTGCCATATGAATATGTCAGCATTATATACACACGTTTTCTTCATTCTTACTAGAGATACGGTCAAAACGTAGTCGAAAGTCCCAAAAACATTCACGTTTTGTAACCTTGAACAGCACAAAAGTCGAGGATCATTGTACAGTTTCGAGTTGACCAACAAAGTCAACTATTTCGCTCTATTATCAAACTCTATTGGTATTTAAAGGAATGACACACTATATTATTTTTCACTCGTATAAGGCTTGTCATATTCAACGTGCTGATTACAGTTATACACCTGATGAACACACAACAAAAGCTTTTAAGAGTTTACATTTGAAAACAAAACCTTTAATAAAGCATTACCATAATAACCAGTTTGACTGACTTCACAATGCATAATATGTATAAACAAGATTATACAGGAACTAACTAAAAGGAATATGTATGTGTATATATATAAAAAAAAAACATTCAAGGTATATATTGTTTATAAAGCATTGTTATTACCCATTGTAAGTATGTATAAATATTTGAAAACGTAACATTAATAAAGTTATATAATAAAAAAAAATGTCTGAAAAATTAAATTTACAGAAATGTTACTCAATAATTAAGGTTGAAATAAAAATTAAATTTATACCTATAGTACTTGTTTACACTATAATAAATAACACATACATCATCCTCACCTGATTTAGTCAAAAATGATCCTAAAATTACTCTGTCTGGTGTGTCCCCAATTTCATCTAATCGTCTTTTTGGGGTGGAAGCACCACTGAAAGTAGTAGGAAAAAATCCCCCCTCTCAAACTTCTGTCAACATTTTTCAACTTCACCTTTATTCCAAACTTATTTGGATTGTTTAACAGCAGTTTTAAACTTGCACTTAACAGAAAAATGTAAGCTATTTTTACCCAAGCAGAAATAAAAATAATTAGGCAAATAAACAATGCACCGTGAATATAATGAACACCAGTAAGTTAAAGTTAATGTATCTTTCATAAGTTTCACAAGTATCTTTAATTCGTAAGCCTGTCAAAGGTTAAAAGTTTGATGACCTGGAAAATTCGAGTAGTGGCTATATGCCCACGAATACAATATTAAGTGTTCATGTTCCTGAGCTTTTGATTTAGGTTTCCCACCTTCATCAAAAGTTCAAAAACAAGAGATTGCATGCTGAAAATATTTAAACAAAAGAAAAAATGTGAAAACTTTTTATTAATCTTATTAAATACCACCTTAAAAACTCTTCTGCCTCGTATTCACTGTAGTAGTTTGAATTGGTAAAGAGTTGTTTCACTAATAAATACTAAAGCATTAATCCTTTAGCTCAGTTTGTACAACACTTGCCTGGAAAGTGGCAGGTCTTAGGTTTAAATCCTGAGGTGCAGAAGTGGATATTAATAAATCTACCATACAACAAAGACTTGATGTTTTATAACTTAGAGAATTGATTTATTTTATCCCATTTTTATTTTTAACACTTACAAATTTTACATGATTTTGGTGTTCTTAATCTAATATTCTCAATGAAATGTTCTGGATAAAACATTAATAAGAACTCAAACAGCAATTTTTAAAGAAGTGAACTTTCATTTAGTTTTATTTGCTCGTTACATTATAATAAAGATTTGGAGAAGTAGGCCTACACCTATAATAAAAAAACATGCTTCGAATGACAGAAGTGGATAAATAATTTATGACAATTTAACTCAAAATATTTTCATTATAATAATAAAAACTTTGGTTTATCTAAACTAAATGTACAGTTACCAAATTCTCAGAATCAAAGTCCTCGTTACCTGTTTGTTGAAAGTTCGCCTAAGTTGACAGCCAAGTCAGTAACGGGGGACATTACAGAGGTAGAACTGAAGGCTAGCGACTGACAGAGCCGTAGAGACAACTTTCCCTTTTCTTGATGTGACATTGTATTCAACTGAAAAGTTATCTCAAACAGCTATAGAAAGAGTCATACAATACCCAAACTTTCAACTGCATAAATAAATAACTTAAGCTTTTGATTTTTTTTCCCCCTCTGTTAAAGTTCTCCAACTAGCTATTTTTTTTGTTCTATTTGGAATTTAAATGCTTTGGTATCAGCACCTATAAAAAAAGAAATATATATATATTGTTTATTTGGTCATGTTCTAAATATATAAATATGGAACTATTTTTTAAGAATATGGATTATACCCTAGAAATATCACTGAAACTTAACAGTAAAATTCTTCTCAACATCATTCAAAAAATTGATATAGTTTATGTACAAATTACAGTTCTTGTAATGTTTAGGATATCATTGAAACTATGCACAAAAACAGGTTCAGTAAAAACTGTATGGAAACAAATTCCATAAGCCTTTACAGAATAGAGGAAAACAAAAACAAAAAATATGTACATTTCACAATTACTTTATTTATTACTAAAATGGTTTTGCTGACAAAGGTATCAATTCTCTATCATTAGGAGATGCATGTAGCAGGAACACACATAAATCCAGAAAAAATAAATATGCAACTTATTAAATTCACAATATAAATTTTGGTGTAATAAGTATTATTATTATTTTCATTACCCAATATATCTTTTCTTAATTTTGCTTTTAATCACCAGATGATATTTGATTGAGTTCATTTCATAAACTCATGAATACTCAGCTAAAATTCATGATTTAAAAATTATGAAAGAAATGACAAAATATGTTTGAGATATTAATAAACTGTAACTATTATATATAACAACCAATAAATCTTTCTAACTAGCTATCAGTTAACTGATCAAAAATTACTTGTGTATTGAACCATTAATGAGTCAGTTTGCACTAATAAATCCAGGTGCTAAGCCTCAAAATTGGCTAAGCCAATTCATTTTACATTTTATGAGACAATTTTAATGTTAATAGCTAAAAATCACACAAACGTTTTTTTCTTCTTCTTGCCATAGATATTTCAAAAATCCTGAGAAATAAGAGTGGAGTACAGATCCAGATATCATTAAAACTGTTTTAAAAATCAAAGTTGTTCTGATCTTGCAAAGTTAGAATAAAGTAATAAAACTAAATTTCTCTCTCAAAAGTAGAAACAGTTTAATGTTACTGATAATTATTTATATGCTATTCTTGAATGAGGTGTTCAAAACCTGATACTTAAAACTTAACTCCCAGTCCCATTCAAAAAAGTTGCATTTCAAGTGAGTAGTTCATTTAACAAATATTTAGCCTATAAAGCAAAAAGAAATTCACCTGCTTTTGTGATAAAAAATATGCTGTCTTTAGCTTATGTAAATTAAAGAGGCTAAGTTTCCTAACTACATAATGTAAATTGATTTTAAAGCTTTACGAACTTTCTGCACTTTCAACCGACATTCAAGTTTAATTTTTACATTAATGTATTCACGTTTTATCTCAAAATTACCACTGACCAAAACTTTTGGCCTTAAGGTTTTAATAAATATATGCGTATACACTCTTTACATTATTACCGCCAGCTTAATTTCACTGCTGTAAATTATAATACAAGGCTTAGCTCAACTTAATACAAACCCAAGCTGCTGAAGCTTACGCTAAATATAGGAACACCCGCCTAACAACAAATCTATGCAAACTTAGTAATAGTAGGCTAGTCTACCGAGTATTGTTTAACCAAACCAGGCACCAATTTTTGTTAACCCGCCACATCAACATCAAGATCTTTGGTACATATTACAACTACAAAACATACATTTACTGTATCTATGGAGATTTATACTCTACATTAATTTCACAAAATTCATATATTTGCACAAAGTTATGTACGGGTTTCTAATAATAATTTCTATCCAACATTAGGCTAAGTCTCTCACCTCTTTCCTGCTTCGTAGAACCCGTACCCAAGTCTTACCTCTACAACACCATACAACCAACAACAGCAGACGCGCGGATCAAGACGTGATTTGAAAAAGACCGCCTCTAAGCAACGTCATGGACACCAATAAATACGTACATCGTATTTAATTAATTGTCTCCTATGTTTCAAAAAGTAAAGAATAATAGCCTTTTTTTCTAGATTTGTCGAATTTAAGACTTCAAAATGTATATATTCCAGTACTATTTTATAAGTTTTAATTAAGTTTAAATTACAAAAATAATAATATGGACAGATGGCGCTCTACACAATACATCAAAAACTTTCAAATTGATGGAAGTGCATAGAATTTGGAGATAAGCGGTAAGCCATAAGAAATACAACACTTCTAATAGAATTCATAATAAAAAATCAGGATATTGCAAAAAACCTGAAGTTTCTTTTAGAATAGAAGCAATTTATAAAGTGTTTTAAAAGAATTATTTAAACGGTTATACATTTCATAATTTGATTACAAATTATAAGGTTTTAGAAAAAATGATAAAAGATAAATTTGTGGTTTTAGGAAAAGTGATAAAACAAGAATCTGCTCTGAAACGAAAAAATATATAAATATAAAGTGACTGTGAACGCTAATGAATTAGGGGCCGTCAAAATAGTATAGAACAGCATTATAGTATTGTAATATCCCGTCTTAAGCAGGGGTAAGCTCACTAACTTTCCTCACATACAACTACTTTCAATAAGTTTTGTTTTGTTCTTTTTTTTTGTTTTTTTTAATTAAGCACAAAGCTACACAATGGACTATTTGTGCTCTGCCCACCACGAGTATCGAAACCCGGATTCTAGCGTTGTAAGTCCGCAGAGATACTGCTGTGCGACTGAAGGGCACTTTCAGTAGGTGAGAAATGTTTTGATAAAACATGATATTATAATGAAATAAAGCTTTAATATTTTCTCAAATTCTTCATCATAATATTTAGTTTTTATTCCATCAAACTTATCGTCTTCCTTAACTGGGTTGATAGGAAATGGTATTACTTGAAAATTCGGTTTTCATTCATTTTTGCAACTTTCAATAATGTAGTAAGTTTCAGATGCAGTCGGTATGTTTTTGTATGTTTGTTTGTTATTATTTTTTATGTTAGGCGTTGCTATGTTTTAAGATTTCTAGTGTAATATTTAAGAAATAAAATCCTTTTACTACTAATTCTCATCAACTTTATAAATTTATCTTATGTAGCAATATTTTTTAATATTAATGTTTTTTGTTGTGAAAAGTAATTAATTACTTTAAAAATAATTAAGATGATATTTTAAAACTATTTAGATTAAAAGGGGTATATTATTAATACAGTTTCAGCAAAAGGAATTAATTAAACTAATATATTTTTATTTATTTTATCTATTCAGTTTGTTCATTGATATCATATTATCATGTGCTCTAGAATCCAAACTGTCATTTCACTTTGCGTAGAATTCTGTACAAATTAGTTCAAGAGTTAAAGATAGATGCACTTTACCTTTCACTTGTCAGTGATGAAAATGATCAGAAAAAATACGTTATGCGCATGACAGTTGATCTTTTTTCGGGTAATTATTATAAATTATTTTCACGCCTCTCCGAATTGGTGCGTCACTGTTTTGTTTCATGTTTTACAGATAACAAAAAACTTTACAAGTGGATATTTGTTACTTTAGTTTTTCTTTATAGTTTTAAAGCTACAATCGGTGTTTTAGTTTAGTTAAAGTGGTTTGCTTATAATATACTGATGGTATAAACATTAGCTTTTTTCGCTTATAGTGGTGATTGGGGGGAGCTCGATTCGCAATCTGCGGGTTCGAATCCCCTTCCCACCAAACATGCTCATCCTTTCAGCCGTGGGGGCGTTACAATGTGTCGGTCAATCCCACTATTTGTTGGTAAAAGAGTTAGTGGTGATGACTAGCTGCCTCCCCTCTAGTCTTTCACTCCTATGTTAGGGGTGGCTAGAGCATATAGCCCTCGTGCAGCTTTGCACGAAATTCAAAACCAAACAGTTTATGGTGTAATGTTGATCTAATTTTTTCTTATTACAACTATTTTATAGAAAAATATAGATATAAGCCTGGTGTTACACAAATCAAAATTAAATACCAGATAAAGCAGAACTAGTGTGGGTATTGTAAAATGATGCATTTCAACAATTTATACGAAAGGTTAGTAATAAAAAAAAAGGCACTTGAAGTTATAGCACATTTACCTTGTACGTTTAATTCGAATTAATTTTCGGAGTACGTAAATTTATCATCAGTACAAATTAATAATTTTTGTTATAGTATCATTAGATGATTTCGACAGAAAACTGTTAATGACAATCAAGAAGAATTTCATTGATCTGAACCTTGGTGCGCCATTCGAGATACACTTCAATACTAGAATTATAACTGCATATTATTAGTCATCGAAGCGTTATAAGCTTTTTGTTGTTAGAGCTAGAAAAAAAAAACATTGTCATTAGAACATAACAAAATAGCCGTTAGATATTTAGATACAGCTGCCAATTAAGTAATCAAAAACTATCTTCAATTTCCTTTATGCAATCTTAATAATTATGTATAAATTGCGTTAATAAATAGCTCACAGCTCAAAAAATTTTGCTGGGCCAGTGAATTTTAGCTGCTATTCGATTCAACCTAAGGAAATCTCCCTCTTGGAAGGAATTAAACAAAGTTGAAGTTAAGCCTTATTCAAGAAGTTTACTCGCCTACGTGATGGTTGCTTTGTTGACCCGGAGTGGCTAAAATAATATTTATTAATAGCGTTTGCTTCTTATTATTTCAATAATATGTGTCTCTTTTTATACTTTTTCTATATTTTTGTTCTAATGTTTTACAGATTTTGTACTATATGAATAGTTTCTCACGAATCACCTGAGATTTTAGTGTTTTATGTTTACTTCAAACCTTTATGTAAATCATCTACGATCTCAATTTTCACAGATGTCTAGAACTCACAGGAAGAATTGCAACACATAAAACATCATTGTGGGCACGTGATCTGTATGAACTGTTGATGGATTAGTCACTAGAATACGAACTATGTCAATCACTCGTTATTCTGACACGTACTCTTAGTCTCCTGGTGACTAAGCAGTAACCCCATAACGCTAAATTTCAAGGCTCAATCACCATGGGGTCATAGTACAGATACCCCATTGTGCAGCTTTGCACTCAGAATAAAAATATTACACGTTTCACTGATCTGTGTTGCATAAAACACAAAACTATTTGAGTATTCTTCGACATTAACCAGAGAGGCCAGAAATTAAAAACAGCAGAAATCCTATACGAAAGACAAGAGACAAATATTTTAAGTGTGCGTGTGAAAACATTTGATTTAAATAAACCAGCGAAAAGTATCGCTAAGGAGCTGTGATTTTTTTATTACTTGGTTTTAAATATTTTTAGAAAGAACAGTCATAAATTAATTACTGCTCATCATGCTTTCTTGAAAAACAAATTAGTAATTTTTAAAGCTATAGAAGCGAATGTTTTGAGATTAATTGCAAACGTTTCAATATTTATTGAAATATACAAGAAATAAAGCTGTACTGGATCAATTTTAAATTACAAAAGACCTGTTAAATTAATTATTTTTTTGTTGTTCTTGAATTTCTCGCAAAGCTATTCGAGGGCAGTTTCTAATTTTGAAGTGATAGACAAGAGAAAAGCTAGTGAACACCATAAACTCTTGTCAGACCAAATATTGCAATTTGACCGTCACTCTTATAACGCACGCACAGCCTCAAAGTTCGGAGAGAGATTTTTTTTTGTAATAATGGGAGACGAACCATGCATCGATTATCACCAAACCTGGAACGTGTCCTTATGGCCGGACCCCTGGGAGTTATACGAGAGGATTGGTAAGTCACCATTGTGTACTCAAAAAATATAAATTGCTTCCTTTCTTAAGCCTTTGTTTAAAAGAATATTTTACCGAGAATCTTGTTTTCCTACTATTATATATACGACATGAAAAAAAAATTGTGTGCAAAAAAAAAAGAAAAAAAAAAGGTATTTCTAACAATATCAAGCCAATGGAAATAATTTTCATACCATCCAAAACCCACGGTATATATATTGTTACCGGTAATCTCCTATCTAAATATATTACTTAACACAAGAGGGAATCCTCAATAGCCGCGGCTCTTTAAATTATTTTAGGTAGGATTAGAGTTAATTAATCTACGAGAGCTGGGGCGTGGTTAAACATGTCAATCGAAAGGGTTTGATATCCCGAGTTCCAAACTGTAATTAGATCTCAAATCGGCCAAGAGATGACTGAGATATATATTGGTCTTTAAAAAACTCAAGAACTCGAAGCCGTTCTGTGAGCCGCGGCTAATAACTGAATTTTATACAAACAAATATTGTATAGTAAATTTAGTTTGAAGTAAGCGTCACCGCCAAATACTAATTACTTACGCTACCGCCCTCTTCAGAGTAAATCATAAAAACAAAAATTTACACATCAAAATTTTTTCTCTGTCTATTAAACTGTATATAAAAATTTAAACCATATTAATGATAATTTTTCATTAGTGAAATAAACTTTCTTTGCATTCAAAAGTGTTTCTTTTTTGAAATTATGATTTACTCGGAAAGCGCCTGTACAATATACTTTCCTGCGTTGCTTCGGTACACGCAAGAAAACAAACATCTTGGCGTAATCAACGTCAGAGTTCACTATTGACATTTTAGAACATAATTGGTCAGTCACATATTAGTTTTTTCGATATTAACAGTCCAATTATTATAATTTCATGTAAAATACTAATTTGCATTTCGTGCTTGTTTTTTTACAGTTTGTTTTGAAATACGTGCAAAGCTACACCAGGGCTATCTACAGTGATAAGGCTGAAGGAAAGGAAGCTGGTTAAAACCACCCACCACCAACTCTTGGGCTACTTTTTTACCAACGAGTAGTGGGATTGACCGTCATATTATAACTCCCCCACGGCTGAAAGGGCATGTTCGATTTCTTGTAGTCCAGCGACAATACAATGGGCTATATATACTGTGCCTACTGCTGAGATAAAACCTAGAATTTTAGTGCTATAAGCCCTCAAACTTACCATCGTGCCTGTGAAGAAAGGGATATCGTTACTTTCTTCCCAGTTTTTCTAATCGCTGTTTAAATTCTACATAAATTGAATTCAGTAGATATAACTTGGATCATGTTAGTTTCAAGATAAATTAAATAAAATGTTCAGGAATAAAAGAGCAAATACATATGTAAAACTAATTCACGAAAACTTCAAAATGACTATGGATGTCTCAAGTCAAAGAAGAAGCAAGCATTAAAAAAAATGCATAACAACATACATTTAAAATAAGTATATATATTTTTTTTAATTTCGAGTAAATAAATTATCACTAGTTGCAATGTTTCTCTGGGTGTTTGTTAGAAGTTATGCCCAAAAGCTACATTTTCTGGATGATTCTAAAGGAAACCATTAATTGAATAAGATTATATCTTTAAATATTCTTGTTCCAGCGGAACAAAATTTTACCCGATTCATTACGAATCAAAAGTTTTATTCAGGAAAGTTTGGACCGAGTTTGACAAGCACCTCACGGGTGTTCAATATACATTCTGTTATATTCCATCTGTATGCCAAGCTTACCCCTAAATGAAGCTACTGAAGTAGTATCTGTTTTGGGCAGGGTTTATTGATGATGGAAAAATCCTACACACTGACATGTATAGTATTCTCATTATTGCTTTCATATTGTTGGGTACACACTTCCAAACACACATTTATACAACCACACAATCAACTACTAGTAGTAGTAGAGATGTCCAAACATATTTGTATACAACCAGTAGTAGACTTCCCAACACACGTTATATACAACCATAGTCAACCAGTAGCAAACTTCCCAACACACGTTATATACAACCATAGTCAACCAGTAGCAGACTTCTCAACACACGTTATATACAACCATAGTCAACCAGTAGCAGACTTCTCAACACACGTTATATGCAACCATAGTCAGTCAGCAGTAGACTTTCCCAACACACGTGTATACAACCATAGCCAGTCAGCAGTAGACTTCCCAACACACGTGTACACACCCAGTAGTACCTTCCTCACCAGTACACACTCATGGCATACAACAGTGAAACATATTTTAAGTTTTACACCAATCACAAGATTATGATAAAGATGCTTTGTAACTATTATATGAACTATCTGTCTAACAGCATATCGACCATTTGAAACAACTCGCACGTGCTGTTCTCGTTTTGTACTTTTGATCGACAACAAACATGTTTACAGATTTGTAAAACAAGAATAAAAAAAAAACAAGTCATAATAGGAGTACATGCAACTGAAATCGTCTACTTACAAAAATAAAATAGTATTAAAAAAACAACAACGGGGATTTATATATTAAAGGATGATCTTGGGTGAAAATAAAAAAATCTGCTAAGCCTGTCGGACTTCTTTAAATACAGAGTAAAAAATAATAATAACACATAGTTAAGAACATTTTTATTGATTCTAATATTGGTTGGTCATAAATTAATTACTGCTCATCATGCTTTCTTGAAAAACAAAGTAGTAATTTTTAAAGCTATAGAAGCGAATGTTTTGAGATTAATTGCAAACGTTTCAATATTTATTGAAATATACAAGAAATAAAGCTGTATTGGATCAATTTTAAATTACAAAAGACCTGTTAAATTAATTATTTTTTTGTTGTTCTTGAATTTCTCGCAAAGCTATTCGAGGGCAGTTTCTAATTTTGAAGTGATAGACAAGAGAAAAACTAGTGAACACCATAAACGCTTGTCAGACCAAATATTGCAATTTGACCGTCACTCTTATAACGTTTTGTACTTTTGATCGACAACAAACATGTTTACAGATTTGTAAAACAAGAATAAAAAAAATAGGAGTACATGCAACTGAAATCGTCTACTTACAAAAATAAAATTGTATTAAAAAAACAACAACGGGGATTTATATATTAAAGGATGCTCTTGGGTGAAAATAAAAAAATCTGCTAAGCCTGTCGGACTTCTTTAAATACAGAGTAAAAAATAATAATAACACATAGTTAAGAACATTTTTATTGATTCTAATATTGGTTGTTTAACTTAAAAAAACAACAACAAAAAACAATGAAAATTGAAACACTTGCACAAAGTTTTGCAGAGACAATCATATAGTTTAATAATACACAGCTTTCTCCAAAGATTAATCAAATTTGACAAGTTGCATAAAGTCATTCACCACTAAATAATGTTTCTTTTACCTGGACAGCTTTTTCTAAAAGGTTTGTGCCAGTTTATTTGGGTACAATGTATGGTAACTACTTTACTACATAACTGATAAACCTCATACATATAACATTTACATCAGCATTTTTTTATAACTGTCATCACATAGAACCTATACCCTGATTAAACTGAAATTCTCTCAAGACAAGAAGTAAGTAAATACTAAAAAAAGCATTCCGTTAAAGATTATAGTGTACAACTCCCCAAAAAGTGTGAACCAGTACCAAAAATGAAACATATTTGTCCATGAATATTTAAAACAAATATGAAGCCTAATTTGTTGCATAAAAAAAATTATAACTCTAAGAAAAATAATAGTTCATTTCTAGGATAAATCTCTTAGTTCTAGGAGTTTTGAAGATATATTATCATTATAATAATAACAACTAAGAACATACACATTATATTTTATGTTAATAAGAAGCACATATACAAAAGCCAAACTTTGCAAAACCAAACAAATAATAACCAATCATGAAACAATTTTTTGTTCTTAAAATGCCTTTCATATCATACAAAAAAAAAAAACTTTTGTGACATTTGTATAAGCCCCCCTTTTGCTTCACCTACATCATATAAGATATACAATAATTTAAGAGCAGGTACATTATGGATACAAATTATACATTAATATAGAAATAAAAAGTTATTGCATTTAATGAGGAAAACAGTGTACAAGAGATTCCGTATAATTTACTGCACAGTTTGAAATATGTACTCAAACACTTGTATAAACACAGTTTTCCTCAACATCACAATTCAAACAAGACATTCTGTAGCATTACCGTTTAAATCAAATATGCCCATTTCTAAAGAAACTTCATTCATGAAACAGGCTACCATATTTGTTACTTTCATTAGAAACAGTGCCTTTCTTTGATACTAGGTTTTGTTATTTTGAAGCATTGAATGTTATAAATAGGTTATCATTCATTTACCCTTCACTTCAACTTATGGAAATCACTCAAAACAGTTATATACCGAATAGGTTTTTTTTACAATCAATTCTGTATAAAATTACTACTCAAAAATATTTTGTACTTTCACAACGATACACCAGTCTTCGTAAGAATGTGATTTTGTCAAATCATTATGAAATACTATAGCTTTGTTGAAATCGAAAAATGAAGTGCAATAAACTGAAAAATTGTCTTTATATCTGCAGATTTATTGTTGGAAAAAACACACAAAAGCAGAAAGAAAGCTGTGAAAGAAATGGTATAAAACAGACAAAAGGCAGAGTTTTTAAAGTTATTTGAAGTATTTTTTTCAGAAAATATTTCCGGCAGGATGCTTTCCAGTGCAAGCACCAAAGACAACGAGAGCTTAAAAAGGTTTGGTTTCTTACACTATTTATTTCTTCCGATCTTCCACAATTCAGTAATTTAGTATTTTGTACATTTTTTGTAAAGTATATTAGAGAATCCCCCCCAACTTTGCATTGTGGATTTTGTACACTTGGTGATGGGAATAATGCATGATACATAATACAAATAAATATTTATTTTACTGGTTGCTACAGCACATTCTGTTGATTAACAGAGAAGGGAAAACTTGATGCTCGAATCAGACAAACCTTTTTTTAGTGATACCAATTAGTTAGAAGTTCATCCTTAGTAGATGCTAACAGTAGGATGAAACGTGGAGCTCCCATTCTTACCCCGACTATCCAGGAGGAAAACCTTCTTGACAGATAATTACAAGAGGATCACGTTAGTTTTGTTCATCAAATTTCGTTTTTTTTTCCCATTACATTGAAATTATGCTTAAATTGCCTAGTTTAGCTTTCTTGCTATAAAGAATATAACTTTGGTATTTTTAGCTTAAGTATGTGAATTACACAAAGTTTACTTATATTACAGAAAGAATTTAATGTTTTGACTTATTAGCAGTTTGAAACTGAAAGTATGAAAACAATATAAATTTAATGAGAGTAGAAAATAATTTACAACAGAATTTTTTTTATCACACTTTTTGACATTACTATGCATTTCTCAATCGCTAACAAAACTGACGAGCCAGGTCTGATAGTCCACAAACTCCATTCTTGTCATGACAACACACTAGGACAATCAGGAATAATCAACACCAAGATACAGAGCAGATATTCGTTTTTCGAGTGAGGTTATTTTTTATTTTCCCAAAACTGAAAATGAGCTAGCACAGAAAGGATTACAGATATCTAAATAGAACTGTTCATATATTCTTATATTTTCAGTTATATCATTAAAACTTAAGCAAATTTAAATAAAGAAAAATGGCTACCATTATCAAAATTCATCCGTCTCTCTTTTAAAAAACACATCTTGAGGATGATGGCATCATAATCTATAGTACAAAATTCCTTTATTTATTAACAACAAATCAAAGAGCCACAACAAGAAATAAAAATACATGTGGGCAACGGAACTTTTACCATCATATTTCAACACCAGGGATGAATAACTACAAAAATACTCAACTTGTTCCAGACTACGAGATGGGAATTTGGACTGGCCACAGTAGCTTTTAACTCGTAGTTACGATTATTAGATCTTAAAAAGTTATTCCAAAAGTAGTTTCTTTATTACAAAGACAGTTTTCAGAGGGTTTTTATCCCTACTAAAGGATATACAAGCTGCAAATAAGGAGAATACTTCAAATTCCTAAATCCCACAGCTAACAGGACTTGAGATAGTTCGAAATTATACTTTCTGTTGTACTTCTAAGATGTACGCATCTGTAGCAAGTGCAATATAAACTGAAAACGTTTTTTTTTCTTTATTTACAACCGTACCTGTCAGTTCACTCAACACATCAATAACATTTTTCAAACATGCAAGAAATTAGGAAAATTAGGTGAGCAATTATTTATTAATAAGCTTAAGAAATCCTACACACAAAACAATGGGACCAATTAGCGACAAAATTGGAGGTAAAATATTAAAGGCTTAAACATGTTAGAACAAGAGGGCCTCTGCTTTTTTCTAAAAAAATAAAATGGCAGGTGAAGTCCATGAAAACTCGCTGTCTAAATTTACCTTGAAAGAATGTTATAATAACTTTTCTTAAGCCTAACTAAAGACTTTCTTCTAGCAAAATAAAGTAAAATACACATATGATTGTGCAAACAAGCATCCTTGTCTGCTTACTGCCAAAGCCGATAAAGAATCGAATATATTAATTTTAAAAACTGAAATTCTTACACAAAATAATTAACTTTTAGTAGTTTAAACCAAACTTGAAGTATTCAACAGCAAACAAAGAACATTATGCTAAGTTCTATAATTATACAGAATGCCTTATTAGGCCAATGTGTGATAATTAAAATGATCTCTAAAAACAGAGCACGATCCTTCAAACTAATAAACTCACTGGATGACATGTGGCTATTTCAGAGTATTATTCATATCTACAAAGTTTCATTAGTGAAAATTAGGGCTAGCTAAGATCAAAAGTGCTGGTGATTTCTATAAAACAAAAATGGAATGACTCACACACACACATATATATAGATAGATACATATAGTAGTGTGTTGATTTCGGTTTGAAGTTATGTTCACAGGAAGTAGGTATTATTTTTTTAAAAAATCTAATGTTTTTGTGAAAAAAGAAAAGAAAAAAGATTTGTTTATTTTACATGATTTTGGCAATTATAAACATTAAACTATACAGTTCCAAAAATTATCATCGGTTTCTTGGACTAATAGGCTAGTGAAGCTGCTTTCAAGCAAAGATAAAAATTGAAAACAAGCAAACAAAAATACTTAACAATTTTATACATATAGAGCATAAAACCACGTTATTAATGTTCACCAAGACTGGGGTTAGTGAACACTCATTACAAAGACTTCGAGTTTATTTGCTACATTGATGTCCACCAACTGCAGCATTGCCTCTACAAATTGGACAAGTTCCATTTGTCTGAAAAGAGAATTTAAAATATCATTATTAACTTTCTTTTTTAAACAAGCAATTTCACATATTTTTTTGATAAATTGTTTAGGCAGAGTATTCATGATTAGTAAACTGGAATGGACGGCAACTGTTTGTTGTAAAAAATACAATTGTAGGGGGACAATGTTTCAAGTCTTCCATTTTTCATCTTCAGATATGAAGGAAAAAAAAGACTTTTGAAATGTCAATCTCTACACTTGTGTTGTTTAACAACGGGCAGTTGCTGTCCATTCCGGCTTATTTAATAACTTCAAATATTTTTCAGAAAAACTGGGTTAAAATTTCTTCTTAATTATTTCATGTTTTTATGTATCATTACAGATTGTTTGCAACGTATTTGAGATAGAGATCTGCAATTATAGCTACACAATCAGAATATACCTTATAGTCAATAACTAATCTCAAAGTATTAACAAACAACAATTGTGGCAAATTTCATGGACTTAAATATCTCTTTCCCAGTTTCCACTTGTAATGACTAACGTCCAACAACACTTTCTGTACAAAAACTTTGCATTTTATGTGTACACATTCACAAACAGACAGGAGTTACAAAAATTGTTTTGTATGTGACGAGGCCAATCATTTCGGTTGTTTTTAGTTATGGATAGAAAATTTCAAGTTACAAGACCAGTGAAAATTACTTATTAAAATTGGAACCATAAAATATTAAATGTTCCATTATATTAAACCTATTCTTCTGTGATAAGTTCCCTAAACTTCCATTTTGAAGATCAACTGATATAGTTTTAAATCTTGCAATAAAGTTCAAAAAATTGGCAACTGAAGACCAGATGATGTAATATTTACAAAGCTCTTCAACTTGGAAGGCGCTTTTTAATTCCACAATATGAAATAATTATTGTTGTCATGGTTAGTATCCTAAATAATTCATCCGAGTTCAATAAATCAACTAGTTTTATCCTATGTTTCTCATCTACTGAAGTCTTTAAGAAGGGTCTAAGAAGCACTCTTTCTGTGGCAGTAGCGGCCAGAAATTTATCCTGGGTCTGTGTGATAGAGAAATACATACTATTCACTAGCCTGAGGACTTCACCCCATTAGGACTTGAAATGACTAACTTATGTAATGCTTTTAAGAAGGGTATCCAGGTTCTGCCGACTCCTGTACTAGATTGGCTGAGTGTGTTAAACAGTTAGATTCATGTAAAAGGGTTCTATATTATTTTAGTATTATTCTATCTTATTGTATGGTTTGTTTCTTGCACAATGAACTATTGAAGATAGATCAGAATTTAAGTCTTTTGGGGTTATTATTCTCCCGAATTCTAACTTTTGTTGCTCAATTTGTTTCCCCCTATGTATCAGAGTCTACTTAAACAGGGGATGTTTAAACGTTCTGACTTTAATGCTGTTTATATATCCCATAAGATACACTTAACAAAGTAGTATATAACCATCTTATAATTTTCTTCCTGCTTATTCTTGGGGTTTTTCCTTCTTTATCATTGAACATTAGGTATTGAACTGAATTGTAATATTGTCACCTGGTAGCAAATAAAATCATTACAGAAAAGAGAACTCAAGATTGATATTGCTTGAAACTCAAAAGTGTTGCGAATTATAATTAATCAGACAATTTGCAAGATTTTTGTGATTACTTTTCAAAGTTACTTCTTTCTTTCTTGTTCTTCTTCCTAATTCTTTGTGCCAAGGTTATATAGTATTGGATTAGAAGTTCTGAAGTTATGTTAAAATTATAACTGTTGAGTTAGAAGTTCTTTGAAGCTTGAGTGTTTCTTGTTAAAGTTTAGGCCTAGCATTTTTGAACTGTAAGTATGATCCATTTTACTTTAGAATTTTCAAATAAACATGTTTTCTTAAGAACCTTGTCATTAACAATCTCATTATTCTGAGTGTAGAATTAAAAATTTGTTACAACTTTGTCTCAAGTTCTAATACCTTGACCATCAATGTGATAAATCATTTCTGATCCTCATTTGAAGAGCACTAAGTTAGAAAAACCTAATCTACACAATGGGAAACAAATAAGCTCATAACTGCATTTGTGAGTGTAAAATTTCCATTATAGTTTTGTTTTATGGAAAAGGATACATTTTCAAAACTTGATTAAACTTGTATTTTTTGAGCTTCTAGTTTTACACATACCTTGATAAGAAAGCAATCATCTACTAATGTAAAACCACTAAACTATTTATAAAAAGACAACTTTTTAAACCATTTACTAATTTCACAACTGGCTGTTGTTTATTACTAACAACTGAATTCCAACCACAGCTCTAGAGTTAGTCCTAAACAACACATTCTTGAAAACTTTCTCAAAAGCTTATTCATGATAATGATAGCCATGAATGTTACGTTACAGTTTGAATTATATTTAAAAATAATATTATTATGTCGCAATAATCAATATTAAAAATTTTATGTGAATTAGTAGAAAAAAAAACATCCCTTACCTTCAGCCATTTATTAACACATCGAGAGTGAAATTCATGATTGCAAGGTAGGATTCTTATAAGCTGACGAGGTTCAAAATCACACATACAGACTACACATGTTGTCTGATCGGTCTCATGGGAACTGGAACTATAACGGTAAGATGGAAGCTGGTCTATTTCTGCGAAGGAAAAGAAAACTCATAGTAAATATTCTGTATTCACTGTATTCAAACGCCTCCTACATCGGAATGACTACCACAACCCTGTCAAGACGCTTAACAATGCACCTACAAAATGGAGCCATC